TCGGCATTATTCCAGCCATAAAGCGACGTGACCAATTCTGCATTCATACACATCCCAAGTACAAAGTCCAAATGCGGTTTTTTTGTAAAAATATACATGTATATAGAGAATCTCACCCGAGTGTCTTTTGATATCAAATTTATATATCACCACGAGTTGATAAAGTAACAAATATCCGAGGCTTGCCGAGGATAATTTTACCTTTATCAACGACTGTTGATATATTTGATATCAGAAGACACGAGGGTGAGATTCTATTTATCATCAAAAATCACTCTTTATTAGTTTTCAATGAAAAATGTACATCTCTGAACACAGTACTGCCATTGGATTTGCAGTGCAGCGATGTTATAACATTGTGACGTCAACAAGTTCATGACGTGATAGCATAGTCAGGGCATTGTACACAATCTACTGTCAAAACGATATCTCCTAAGAGATATCGACTGATCTCACACAAGCGATATCTACTGTTGAACACAGTTTTGGATGATAAATGTATTTCATCATTATCCACAAACAGAACATGTCATAGCACCAAATTAAAAAACAAGCAATCCGTCATTCACATTACATAGTTAAGTTACACTTAATGATACAGATCAATATCCATTAAGTAGTTCAAAATGAGATGCCTATGGTGGCTGATTAGGGCCATCGCTTTCTCGCCTTAAAATTTGGAGGCGAGAAAGCGATATCACGAGACGAGAAAGCGAGCCACCGTAGATGACCGCTCACGCGTTGAAAACAGATCTCCAGATTCCTTGCTTCATAATGTGAGCCCTCGCAGTTGGAAAGTCCACGCTGTCAAGCAGAATATGATGGTAAACACTTCATCGCAAGAGGTCCATCTATATCCGTTTTTAGGATCGGGTGGTCAGGCTCTCTGACTTGGTGACCCGTGAAGGTCTGGGTTAGAATATTGATCTTCAGAAACCCATGCTTGTCGTAAGAGGCGACTAACGGGATCGGGTGGTCAGGCTCGCTGACTTGGTTGCCACATGTCATCGGTTCCCAGTTGTGCAGATCGATGCTCACGCTGTTGATCACTGGATTGTCTGGTCCAGACTCGATTATTTACAGACCGCCGCCATATAGCTGGAATATTGCTGAGAGCGGCGTAAAACTAAACTCACTCACTCACGCACTCTGACTTGGTTGACACATGTCATGGTATCCCAGTTGTATAGATCGATGCCCATACTGTTGATCACTGGATTGTCCTGTCCATACACGAGATCATTTACAGACCGCCGCCATATAGCTGGAATATTGCTGAGTGCGGTGAAAAGCTAAACTCGGTCACTCACAATCTTTTGTGCCCATCAGTGATATCACTGATTTTTTATCACGGAATTCATCAATATCTAAATCCTACTGTAAACTCTCGCGTCTGGAACAGTTAAACCAGTGACTGATAGTACGAGCAACCATCAACCACATCAGCCTGACTTTAGGTTCTGCCACTGGACAAGAGAAGCCCTGGCAAATGGGTGCCTTGTCTACTCCAGATTCCCAACGAGGTGTCCAAGTGGATTCATTCTACCGTGAATAATAATGATGATGATGATGATGAAATTAACACCGATCCACACATGTATCACTCCACCTTCAGCACCAGCTCTCACTTGATATACTGATTCTAAAAATAGCGTAGGAGATTCAAGGAACTTCTCCACCAAGCTGTTCCGGTAAAGCCGATTTCGTATTAATATTTAACTGAATGTGACGATACGGGGACGATCGGTATTGCGTTGCGTTGATGTATAAAATGCTTTTGTGGTCACGACAACTCGACTACTTCATGAGGATAATTGTTGTTTAACGTCGCACTCAGCAATATTCCAGTTATGTATGGCGGCGGTCTGTAAATAATCGAGTCTGGACAAGACAATCCAGTGATCAACGGCATGAGCATCGATCTGCGCAATTGGGATACGATGACATGTGTCAACCAAGTCACCAAACCTTACCACTCGTTCCCGTCAGTCGCCTCTTTCGACAAGCATGGGTTACTAAAGATCAATTCTAACCCGGATCTTCACAGGTGTGGGAAACTGTGGGTCATCAAGAGAGGCCTATTTAAGGTGAACTACAGTCTACCGGACGCTATCTGCATCAGTTATAACATAGTGGTCAGGCATTATCGGTTCACTGACATCCAGTTTACTGACTGTAACGCTATCTGGGATTGACATGACATAGCCATCAAGACAGCATCGTCATCGGTTGCTCATCACCTGTAGGTTATGCATCATACCTTAAAACTGATAACCTCATGAACATGATAACTATGTTTACTCATACTCATGCATTTCTGGTGTCCCCCGCCCCCCGTCATATTGATGGAATGGTGCTGAAACTGCGTAAAACTAAACTCACTCACTTAATCACTCATAGCGGTACATGGGTACAATGTGTGAAGCTGGCTTCTGGTGTCCCCCGCCGTCATAGTGATGGAATGTTGCTGAAACTGCGTAAAACTAAACTCACTCGCTTAATCACTCATAGCGGTACATGGGTACAATGTGTGAAGCTCATTTCTGGTGTCTTCTGTCGTGAGATTGCTGGAAGATTGCTAAAAGCTGCGTAAAATTAAAACTCAGTCATTCATAGCAGAACATGGGATCATGAGTGAGTTTAGTTTTACGCCGCACTCAGCAATATTCCAGTTATATGGGGGCGGTATGAAAATACCGAGTCTGGATCAGACAATCCAGTGATCAACAGCATGAGCATCGATATACGCACTTGGTATACGACGACATGTGTCAACCAACCTGACCACCCCTAAATTGTACCAGTGAATAAACTGTTGACTTGCACGGACGTGTTTCGACTCCCTGTAGGGTCATGTTTACACAAAACATGCACAGTTCAATTGTTATTGTAACGTAATTCAATCGTATCTTTAAACTGTGGTATGTACAGACGCATCGTAACATTCTGTAGGCTAGTATAGGTATTTGAGTGAGTGAGTGAGCGGACGCCTGACGTTGCCGTCAGCACAATTTAAGATAAACAGTCCTCGGTCTGAAAATAGAAAGTTACGCACGTTAAGATCACTTTTGCCTAGTAACATCGATGACACACACATATCTCTCCTGACCCAGATTCCTCCCAAGTCAGACAAATATTATCTCAAGTCAAGTGTGCGTTTAAGAAGCATGTGACGATGACTTTTCGGACAGAGATGGACTTTTGTTTTTGACATAATTACAGGTGTCTATATCTGGACCCAACATTTAACTTACACTGCGCCCTACTCTTACTCGCTTCGTCCAAATCGGTAGATTTTGTAAACATTACATTTAACATCTATTAGTTATTTAGGAGATTATAATTTCGTTATATACCTCTGAATTTCCATATGTTTATCTCCATTCCACCACAACCGCGTCAAGATTTAAAAAAAAATGCATACTGTGTTGGAAAATCAGAGGTATATAACTTGATTATATACCACTGAATGACTTTAATTAAGCAATCACAATCCAGTATTTACTGAAGTCATGGTAGAATTTAATATAATATATCAGAATCATGTATTAAATATCTCAGTATCTGTTTATCACAGGGGGCATGACATCTAAATGATCTAAGGTGTGCCAATTACCTGTGCAGATTTGTGTTTCTTAGGCGTGCCAGGATCCGGTTGGAATTCTTGAAATCGCCCTGTTTCGCCGTCTTGTTAGCATCGGACACACATAAATTGTACTGACTTTTTAGATAAACGAAATTATAAATCTATTTCATAAATGTGTATGTCACTGCTGCCAATCATTAATGTTTTAATATTGATATTATGAAACATACAAATTACACACTATCGCAGAAGCCTTGAGCAGCATCAACTACTGCGGTAACAACGCTGTGTGTCTCTAACACATCAACGTGCAATGTCGGTTCAAATAGTGGCTCTAACACATCAACGTGCAATGTCGGTTCAAATAGTGGCTCTAACACATCAACGTGCAATGTCGGTTCAAATAGTGGCTCTAACACATCAACGTGCAATGTCGGTTCAAATAGTGGCTCTAACACATCAAATAATGTCGGTTCAAATAGTGGCTCTAACACATCAACGTACAATGTCGGTTCAAATAGTGGCTCTAACACATCAACGTACAATGTCGGTTCAAATAGTGGCTCTAACACATCAACGTACAATGTCGGTTCAAATAGTGGGTCTAAAACATCAACGTGCAATGTCGGTTCAAATAGTGGCTCTAACACATCAACGTGCAATCAACGTGCAATGTCGGTTCAAACAGTGGCTCTAACACATCAACGTGCAATGTCGGTTCAAACAGTGGCTCTAACACATCAACGTACAATGTCGGTTCAAATAGTGGCTCTAACACATCAACGTACAATGTCGGTTCAAATAGTGGCTCTAAACACATCAACGTGCAATGTCGGTTCAAATAGTGGCTCTAACACATCAACGTCTAACAATGTCGGTTCAAACAGTGGCTCTAAAAATCAACGTACAATGTCGGTTCAAATAGTGGCTCTAAAACATCAACGTACAATGTCGGTTCAAATAGTGGCTCTAAAACATCAACGTACAATGTCGGTTCAAATAGTGGCTCTAAAACATCAACGTACAATGTCGGTTCAAACAGTGGCTCTAAAACATCAACGTACAATGTCGGTTCAAATAGTGGGTCTAAAACTTCAACGTGCAATGTCGGTTCAAACAGTGGCTCTAAAACATCAACGTGCAATGTTGATTTAAATTGTGGCTCTAAAATATCAACGTGCAATGTCGGTTAAAGTTAGGGATTCGAATCCACGATCATTGCTCTGGTGTGTTAATGGAAGATACCATGAGCTATAACTTGCGAAATCCATTGTGTATAACCCAGTATATTTGTATCTTACACACGTGTGAAGACGTGACAACCATCAGTGGGCTTTACACATTGTACCCATAGTTATATCACTATGACGAATTCACCGCGTGATATGGGACGCAAAAACAATATTCCCCCAGATGTAGAGGTCAACCGTCCATGCTATATAAACTGTGGCGGCACTTGACAGACATGACAGAGACGATAGTTCTGATCAAGCGGTAAATCACTCTCGTCTCAAGAAACGAATCGCCATCTTGGGAATCCATCTTCTGGAAGCAAACGACACCATCATTCAGACGATATGTGTCGGCTCGTAGTCGTCGTCGTCGTCGTTGATGGTGGCGCTGTCGGCGGCAGCACCACAATCCGTGACGACCCAACCACCACAGAACGCCGGCGTGTACCCCCCGAACTTCCCCACCCCTACCGAGACGTACAGCAGGTTCGCCCAGTTGGATATAACAGGGAACTACTTTCTGTTCTGGAGGGCAAACTCCACACACATCCATTTCGAAACTCACGTGAAAACTAGGGGCTACGTAGGCTTCGGTATCTCCAGCAATGGCAACATGTACCCGGCTGACGTGGTGATTGGCTGGGTAAAAGATGGGAAGGTACACTTTGAGGTGAGATATATTTACTATTTATATACATGTATCTAGGAAATTACGAATGTTGTGCGTTACTATTGCGACAGATGTATTTCTTCTAAACAACACAAGCCAGTTAGCTGCCATCTTTCTCCCCACCCAAGGGAGATAATTCCGAAAGGCGTTTTGAATCATGTTGAGTTGCCTCCCTTCACATCATCTGCACCCTCCCGTAAATTACAGCTGACATCGGTGTGCAAGGGGCCTTTACAAGAATCATGAAATTTCGGTCGCAATTTTACCAAACCCCAAATATATTGACAATATACGTTGCTGTGTATAATTTTTGGATTGTCATTGTATCAAATTGGGGAAAAGATTTTCCAGTGGGTCCGTTGCACAGAACGTAGTGCTAAGGTGAACGTAGCTCATATACCTTAACGTAGATTTACGAAAGTCGTAGCGCTAGGAGTCTAGTGGATAACAGCACCTAGACGCCATATAAAAAAAGATAGCACCTATACAAACTGACGAAGAAAATACTTTCGATTATCATCACGTGTTAGTGAACATATTGGTCAGTCGGTTCAACTCCATGCATGGTTGTGCCGCCAATCGCTGTAGAGAGCTGTGACTGCTGCCAGCGATAGTTCAGAGAGCTCTGCGAACACGCTATCGCAGGAAGGAGCTTGTCTTTACCGAAAACGGCATTAATTAACGTAGGTGTCAGGTGAAATAGGGTTTATCGTCGAACTTTAGAATATTTCGCTCATATGACGACATGCATGCGTGTGTATTTGTGGCTGTTTGTACAAGCCCAGACTTCAGCTAGTTTTACAGAGCTTGCTCACTGAGATACCATGCCACAGTGAAGCATGAATACCCCACTCAGACACATTATACTGACTCCGAGCCGACAAGTTCTTGTTGTACCCATTAATGCCGAGCGCGAAGCAGGGACCAACAAGTACCATATTTTAACGTCTGTTGATATGACGTGGCCGGGGATCGAACCCGCGACCTTCCGCTCTCCGGGCGGACGCTCTAACCACTACACCATGGAGGGTATTGATGTACCATGAAAATGGGTTTATGAACAGTTTTAATGACAGTGATTAATTTTCACATTTTTCTGCTAACTGAAAACCTGGAAGTTTAAGGGAGCAGTTACGGTTTTGTTTTGTGCTATTCTGAACATCGTTAGACTAATTTGTAAGCTGATTTCTCGCCTTGCATTATACATATATCTAGGTCATTCCAAAATATTGCGGGATCGGGTGGTCAGACTCGCTGACTTGGTTGACACATGTCATCGGTTCCCAATTGCGCAGATCGATGCTCATGCTGTTTATCACTGGATTGTCTGGTCCAGACTCGATTATTCACAGACCGCCGCTATATGGCTGTAATATAGCTGAGTGCGGCGTAAAACTAAACTCACTTACTCCAAAATATAGTACCAGTCGATTCTATCATATTCCTATAATTGTTCATCTGTTATGCCATGATAGTATATAAATCAGTATTTTTTAAATTTATGCATGATTTAAGATGAGTTAAAGATTGTATATGTGTAATCACAAACAATCTCACAATATGTTTTGTATTAGTACAAGGGCGGTGGGGTAGCCCAGGGGTTAAAGCGTCCGCTCATCTCATCGAAGGTCTGGGTTCGAATCCCTACATGAGTACAATATATTGAAACACGTTTCTGCTGTCCCCCGCGGCAATATTCCAAGAATATTGATTAAAGCGCCGTAAAATTATACTCACAGAAACACCCTTTGATCATTGGTACTGTTTCTTCCAGGACCGCCATACAATCGGTTTCTATGAACCAATCATCGACGACTCCCAGGACTGGACGCTCATCGCCGGCTTCGAGAACGACTTCGGCACGGTGTTAAAGTTCTCTCGAGCACTCGACACTTGTGATGAGAAGCAAGACCGTGTAATCAAGGTAGATCATTATGTTTGTTTATATATTCAAGCAAATCCTTATTATATCCACTTCCTTTTATCTGGCGGCGGAGGGGTAGCCTAGTGGGTAAAGCATTCGCTCGTCACGCCAAAGGTCCGTGTTCGATTCCCCACTTGAGTACAATGTGTGAAGTCCATATCAGGTGTTCCCCGCCAGATATTGCTGGAATATTGCTAAAAGCGGCGTAAAACTAAACTCACTCACTCACTCACACTGTCGATGCACCAACCTGATAAGTCATGGGTGTTGCCCTGCTGTAGAAAATGAGATGATTTTGTGTTTCGCTAAACATTTAACTATCGGAGAAGTTGACTGCATACCCAAAGCGCATAGGCGTTGATTTTCAGCAAGCAAATTGTGAAAGACGACTATAGTGTCGAGATGTATTCGAACATGTACTGAAAGATGTATTAGTATCAATGTATCAGCCGGGTAGGATGTTACGATCCGCTTCCTCTCAGCAATTAACTGTGCCCAAAACTCGAACATCACCCTATGGCGAAATATGTTTTGGTAAGGCAGGTCGAGACCTCTGGATATTCTTTCCAGATCACATACAGCAAGTCACTGACTTTCAGACATTCTAGCAAGAAATGAAGACCCTGCTGCCCCAGAGAGCCTTTGAACTGCGCTTTATTATTTAATGTTAGAATAAACGTATTGTTATTGAGCTGTATATGGAGCACGGTTATACTTTTCCAGCAAACCCAGCCAGCTCAATGAGTTATGCATATTTTACGACTTATGGTTTACGACCTATGCAACATTAAAAAGACCTAAACTACTATCAACATCGAAATTACTGAAAACACTTAAATTACCCCATTATTCACACCCGATGCAGGGGACTCGTTTGTAGCTAGTTAGTCCATGTGCTAAGTATATTCATGTTTCTCTCCCGCAGGAAGGGACCACAAAGGTCATTTTCTCCTACCACCCAGATGACCCCATCCATGAGACGGGTCTGACATACCACGGTCACGGCAGACGGGGGTCCAAGAGTCTCCTACTGCTGGACTTGACCCCGACCGTGAAGGTGTTGCCAGCTGACACCCAGCACTTCGACATGAAGAACCAGGACGTGAGGAGACCACAAACACCACCATCTTCACAATGCAACCACCTATTTACAATATGCAATATTTACCTTATTATTTAAAATTATCAAAATTTTTCAATCTGAAAAGGGGCGGTGGGGTAGCCCAGTGGTTAAAACGTTTGCTCGTCACGCCGAAGGCCCGGGTTCGATTCCCCACATGGGTACAATATGTGAAGCCCATGTCTAGATCTTGTGTTCCCCCGCCGTGATATTGCTGGAATATTGCTAAAAGCGGTGTAAAACCCAACTCACTCACTCACTCAATCCTGAAACTTTCTATTTTCGGATTGCTGTGCTTTTGTGAATGACTACCATTGTTAAAAATAACACACTAACGTAAATAGACCGTAACGCTTGATCACAGCCCGGGATCTTAAATTGCCAAAATACTGACTACAATCAATTAAAGTGTAAAATAACATACTCAACAAGTCGTTACGTTTATATTTTATTGAGTCTGTTCGGGATGAATCGAAAACTTAAACATAACTTTTACGTTAATTGAGTATTACGATCGTCTCAGCGCCTAGAGGAAGTAGACTCTGCATAGAACAAGGCTTCGAAGCTTGGCCGCACTTTCAGTCCATACATTGATAATAACCAATTCTGAATTCCGGGTTTTTTCCTTTATGTGCAATATGTTTCCATGACAGCAGTTGTGATTCCTGTCTTTTTTCAACAGTTCCACCTACCTGCTGTAGACACGTACTATCACTGCACCGTCTTCAAGGCGCCCGTACTTCCAAAGAAACACCATCTCATCATGGTAGGATGAATAAATGGTTTCCAGAGCAGTATGTGTGTGCGTGCGTGGGTTCGGGTGGGTGATAGTTTGGACTTGTACTGGTCCTATGGTACTAAAGTAAGGCCAGAAATGCTTGGAAAATGCTTTTTGCCTTCAATATTAATATGCTGAATTTGACACAAGATAAAAGCACATATATGATACATGTACGACTCTACCTAGTTGGATAGTAAAGCTCAGATGAAGAAATGCACTTGAGGGGTGACTTCACAGGAGGAAATTTTGACGTTTTAACAACATTCGTAAATATTCTAAGTACAAACTGTAGTTTTGAAATACAGACTATAATTATTCATATAGCCTCAACTAATTAAATTACATAAATGATTGCAAAAAGTTTTGGGTTTTTAAACGTCTATATGTGAATAAGATGGAACTCTTGTAGTAGTTATATTCAAAACAATTACGTAAAAATGTCTTAAGTCAAATCGCATAGATAATTTTGTTCACCCACTGAACTGGCAACATGCGACTTGATATCTCTGCAGAACAATTAATTTCAAATTTATACCAGCGTGTCATACTGGAAAAACAAAGGGTTAAACCTCTCGTCAGCTATGACAAGGTTTACTATGGATGTGTAAAGCCCTTAATATGACATATAGTCAGGTTTAAAAGTTGTAAACAAATCAGTTACCTCAGGGGTCGTGTCAAAATCAAAACCAGGTAGGAAATACAAACTGGATAACTTTGATAAGGGTGTCATACGCCGTGCAGTTTATAAACTGTATGAACGCAAAACCCCACCGACGTGTGCTAAAATACAAGATGAGATTAAAGATACAATAAATGTCTCGAAAACAACACTTATTGCAGCTCTGGTAGAAATGGGGTTCAGGTACACCAAAAAGGGAGATGACAGAGCTGTGTTTAGAGAAAAATACTCAATCCTGTCCATGCGATCAGCTTATCTCAGAACAGTTGAAGAATACCGCAATTTGGGGTTTCAAATTATATACCTTGATGAAACCTGGTGTAATAAAAATCACTCAACCGATCGGATGTGGCTTCCTTCAGATTGTTCTAAGGCACCAGTGTTACCATCAGGCACAGGTAGACGCCTGATCATCTTGCATGCTGGTACCCGTAGCAAGGGACTGATTGGGGGTTGTGACTTTGTTTTTGAGGCCAAGAAATCTGATGGTGATTACCACAGCGAAATGAATGGGCAGGTATTTTTGGATTGGTTCGAACATCAGCTTTACCGCAGCTGGACGAACCAAGCGTTATCATTTTGGATAACGCCAGTTACCATAACCTGCGTGCCCCAGGTACCATCGCACCCACCATGAGCAATCTCAAGGCTCAGTTGCAGGATTTTCTCACTTCCTGTAACGTGCCTTACAGGCACTCAGAAACAAAGCCCCAGCTCATGGAAAAAATCCGGTGGCACAAAAAGCCAATCCACTGACGAACTAGCTGCAAAACAAGGCCACATAGTTCTGCGTACACCAGTACGGCACTGTGAGCTCAATCCCATCGAGCTGATCTGGGGTAACTGTAAGAATTTTATTACTCGCAATAATACCACATTCACGCTTTCAGACGTTAAAGAGCTTGTGTATGCTTCTTTTACGAGAATTACCCAAGAAGTGTGGCAAAAGGCTGAAGGCCGTGTTCTCAAAATCGAGGACGAATACCGTTTGCGGGACGGCGTTAACGTCAGCCGAGTTGCACCTGTTGTAATTCCGCTAGAGTCCTCCACCAGCAGTGATACTGACACTTGATATTTTGAGACGGTCCCTGACATGTACTGCCCGTGCGTTTCATAACGCTGTCACCCTGTCTGCCTGCCAGGTGGGTCACAGTATAGTTTGTTTCTTTGAAGTGTTTGTACCATTGAATTTTTCTAAGTTTTTCGATATTTTACGAGTAATCATTATGATTAGGGAATGGTACATCGTGATTACTCATATGCCATATTAGGTCGAGGTGGTATGAATGATTAAATATGAGTTTTAAATCTGAAATATCAACCATTATCAAATAATTGCCAAAAAGCATTTTCCAAGCATTTCAGGCCTTACTTTAGCTTATTGTGAAACTATGAAGCAATTCAAGATTGATTACCCACTCAGATACAGTGAACTTACTCTGAGCCGGACGACTTTGTTTTATTCCTAAGGGACCGTTCATAATTTATGGCTAGGGAATGTTGATGATTTTATGGCGAAGCACGTACTATGGGAATTAACCCCAACCCCTTAAAATTTATGTACGAAGTAAGTGATCCTGTATGTCATGTACAAAATCAATGACACCCTTCCCCTAATTTTAAGCATAATTTTTAATTAGTATTATGCACAAAATCGCCGACCCCCTAGTACATGAGTACGAAATTGATTAGCTCTCCCTACCTCCCCAGAACAAAATGGTCTTTTAAAGAAACCCCGTAAACATCCGGGTTAGAATTGGTCTTCAGTAACCTCGCTGACTTGGTTCATACGTAAGTCATGGGGCGGTGGGGTAGCCTAGTGGTTAAAGCTTGGCTCGTCACGCCGAAGACCAGGTTGATACATGTCATTTCTGGTGTCCCATATTGCTGGAATATTGCGCGGCGTAAAACTGTCTCATACATGTCATCATATCCCAAATACGTAGGCTCGATGCTCATGCTGTTGATCACTGGATTGTCTGGTCCAGACTCGATTATTTACAGACCGCCGCCATATAGCTGGAAAATTGCTGAGTGCGGCGTAAAACAACAACCAATCTAACTATCTTTTAACTAAAGAGAACGTGTTTTATGCGTGACCAAGTGTCCGTGGTATATGTTTGAGTCGTCAACCATACCTCACTTCCTTGTCATTATTTTGAATCGGCTCACCCGTAATCTTGAATTGTCTCACCCGAAATCTTCAAATTTCATTCGTCTTGCCTGTAATCTTGACTCGTCTTGCCTGTGATCTTGAAATTAGATCTTCTTACCCGTAATCTTGAAATTGAATCGTCTTACACTCAATCTTGAATCGTCTTACCCGCAGTGTTGAATCGTCATACCCGTTATCTTGAATCGTCTTGCCTGTAATCATGAATCGTCTCACCTGTAATCATAAATCGTCTTACCTCTAATCGTGAATCGTCTCACCTGTAATCTTGAATCGTCTTGTCATTGTACCAAATCCTCTGACCATTGCCTTGAATCGGTTGTTATTTCCTTGGATAATTGTGCCACGACACTAAATGAATACGTTAATTTGTGTCCCCAGTACGAACCGCTCATCACCCCTGGCAACGAGGATGTCCTCCACCACATGGTGTTGTACACGTGCCCCGGCAACATGGATGACAAATACGACCACATGGACTACCACTGCTACCACGAGAGAGACCCACTACTTCGGGCGTGTACCGGCGTCTTCCTAGCCTGGGCCGTAGGGGGAGATGTGAGCCTCGCTCTCATACAGCACTGTTAATTGGGTTTCAGGGGTAGAATAAGTCTGGTGAGGCGCTGCTGCGGGTACTAAGCTGGTTCCCGGATCCCTTTGCGAGCGCCAACTTGCGATATGCGAGACGGGGCCCAGCTTACTCCCGGTACCAGACTTCCGGTGACGAGCGTATATTCAAGAACTAGTTCTGGTTCCAAATTGTGCGACCGCCAAATATGACTTTCCTTGACCAGACCAAATGTACAATCACGCTTGGTTGTCATAGCTGTAGTGTGTGAGTGAGTTAAGATTTTAAGTCACATCGGCAATATTTCAGCCATATCGTGACGTCATAGCTGTAGACAGTCGTAATATACTCATGCCAATAATGGTTGTCACCCCACTTCCCAGCCCCAACCCCCACACTCACACACCCACCCCCTCTCCAATTAAAAAAATTGAAGGGGGTGACAACCCTTATTGGCATGAGTATAGTTGGTAAATTTGGGGATGGTTAGACCGGAAATTAATTATTCCTGCAAGTATTACCGGCTCCTTATTGTCAACTGAAAATGTATGAAACGTTGTTTGTCACCGGAAGTACTAAGGTCTCGCGAAGTGCCGTCACCTACTTACGGGACTTATAGGTCCCTAAAATGCCGTTCCACTAAACCATCGTAGATTGCCGATTGTCCCAACTCATTCTTAACGTATTGGAGTTGAGATTGTCTCAATACTAAGATGGCGGTGTGGAACGTTGAGTCTTAAGAGGCAACCTTTGTTTGGTTCATGGGTTTTTGTGTGTTTAACGCCGCACCCACCAATATTCCAGCTATATGGAGGCTCTCTGTAAATAATCAAGTCTGGACCAGACAATCCAGTGATCAACAACATCTTAAGAGGCAACTTATTGGATCGTCAACGCAGCTGAATGTTTTGATAGTCCCCTATATTAATCACTGGGTTGCCTGGTCCAGATTCGATCGTTATCAGGCCACCTTCGAAGGCTGGAATATTGCTGTGTGACGTTAACTAACATAACATTCACATAATCAAACGGTAGAAATTGTTGTGTTACACATCAGCAAAGTGTGGTTTTATACAACCAACTCACCGAATGGCAACTTTGGCACCATTCTACAAAGTGAGCACCATGGGCTTTCGGATCTACTAATATAATCTAAGACGCTCATACAAGGCCAAATATAATGGCATTTTCCTTTGTCCAGCGGTTTATGCGTCAGCTGGACACAACGAAACCCGGGTTCGATGTCTACAAGTTGTGAAGCTGATCTCACTCGCCGTAGATTTTGCTGGAAAATTGCTAAAATCGGCGTAAATCATATCACACTCTCACTCGCTGGTGAAAATCTGTTGCTCGGCCGACGCTTTTCTTTGCTGTATATGTCGGGTTATTAACTGATCGGAACTTGGGTACAGTAACTGCTTGGTTTTACGCCGCTTTTTGCAATATTCTAAATTCACGGCTCAACACCAGAAATGGGCTTCACGCATTGTACCTGTGGGGAATCGAACCCGGGATTAACAACTCTTGAGCCAACGCTTAAACCACTAGGCTACCCCACCGCCCCGATCAATTTTGAAAACAGGTACAGCTGCTTGAGATGGTCGGAAAAATTGCAAAGACTAATTCTGTTCAAACAGGTTCTTCAGCCGTTCTATCTTCCTGATAATGCGGGATTACCTCTTTGAACAAAAGACGACCCTAGATTCTTACTGCTGGAGACTCACTATAACAACCCCTCTCTGAAAACAGGTACGTATATCCATTAGCTCCCACTATAACAGTGTCACCCTGAAACTAGATATTCCCCCACTATAACAACCCCTCTCTGAAAACAGGTACGTATATCCATTAGCTCCCACTATAACAGTGTCACCCTGAAACTAGATATTCCCTCACTATAACAACCCCTCTCTGAAAACAGGTACGTATATCCATTAGCTCCCACTATAACAGTGTCACCCTGAAACTAGATATTCCCCACTATAACAACCCCTCTCTGAAAACAGGTACGTATATCCATTAGCTCCCACTATAACAGTGTCACCCTGAAACTAGATATTCCCTCACTATAACAACTATAACAACCCCTCTCAGTGTCAAATGAAAAGATATTCCCCACTATAACAACCCCTCTCTACGTATATCCATTAGCTATTCCACTATAACAGTGTCACCCTGAAACTAGATATTCCCCACTATAACAACCCCTCTCTGAAAACAGGTACGTATATCCATTAGCTCCCACTATAACAGTGTCACCCTGAAACTAGATATTCCCCACTATAACAACCCCTCTCTGAAAACAGGTACGTATATCCATTAGCTCCCACTATAACAGTGTCACCCTGAAACTAGATATTCCCTCACTATAACAACCCTCTGAAAACAGGTACGTAATCCATTAACACTATAACAGTGTCACCCTGAAACTATCCCCCACTATAACAACCCCTCTCTGAAAACAGGTGTATATCCATTCGCCCTGTGTCACCCTGAAACTAGATATTCCCCACTATAACAACCCCTCTCTGAAACAGGTACGTATATCGTATCCCATCCATTGTCACTCCCCACTATAACAAAACAGTCACCCTTAGCTCCCACTAAACTAGATATTCCCTCACTATAACAACCCCTCTCTGAAAACAGGTACGTATATCCATTAGCTCCCACTATAACAGTGTCACCCTGAAACTAGATATTCCCTCACTATAACAACCCCTCTCTGAAAACAGGTACGTATATCCATTAGCTCCCACTATAACAGTGTCACCCTGAAACTAGATATTCCCTCACTATAACAACCCACTAAGCGAAAACTACACCCGCGATAGCCAGTGTAGTCAGTTAGATGGGTACCCGGAAGTATGATTTAGTTAACATTTCACCCTGAAACTAGATATTCCCTCACTATAACAACCCCTCTCTGAAAACAGGTACGTATATCCATTAGCTCCCACTATAACAGTGTCACCCTGAAACTAGATATTCCCTCACTATAACAACCCCTCTCTGAAAACAGGTACGTATATCCATTAGCTCCCACTATAACAGTGTCACCCTGAAACTAGATATTCCCCACTATAACAACCCCTCTGAAAACAGGTACGTATATCCATTAGCTCCCACTATAACAGTGTCACCCTGAAACTAGATATTCCCTCACTATAACAACCCCTCTCTGAAAACAGGTACGTATATCCATTAGCTCCCACTATAACAGTGTCACCCTGAAACTAGATATTCCCTCACTATAACAACCCCTCTCTGAAAACAGGTACGTATATCCATTAGCTCCCACTATAACAGTGTCACCCTGAAACTAGATATTCCCCCACTATAACAACCCCTCTCTGAAAACAGGTACGTATATCCATTAGCTCCCACTATAACAGTGTCACCCTGAAACTAGATATTCCCTCACTATAACAACCCCTCTCTGAAAACAGGTACGTATATCCATTAGCTCCCACTATAACAGTGTCACCCTGAAACGCAGGTATATATCCATTGCTCCCACTATAACGGGTGTCAGAAACTAGATATTCCCTCAGTCATAGGTACACCGGAAGTATGTAGTCAGTCAGATGGGTACCCGGAAGTATGATGGTGTGTTACTGGGATTTAGTTAACATTTACATCTTTATAAAAGAAACAGTTCACCCTAATGAAACAGGTGTCGCCCTGACAATAAACCTGCATTGAAGCAGTTGAAATCATAAGCATCAATCTGCGCAATTGGGTCACGATGACATGTGTAGACATGTGTAGACAGACCTCGTTGACACATGTCATCGTGTCCCATTTTCGTAGATGGTTGTTCATGATATTGACCACTGGATTGTCTGGTGAAGACTAAGTTACTTTCAGACCACCGCCATATAGCTGGAATATTGCTGAGTGCTTCGTTAAACCCCCAACAAACAAACAAACATTAAAGCACTTAAATAAAAGATGTTGATATATACTACCCATCAAAAGTTTAGACTCACATCAAACACTCACTATATGTTATGGGTATATATATGGTTACATCGAAGATTGACTTCATCCACTAACTCGGGGGAACCAACTGCAAACCTTATGCAGTTAAACTGCACGAGGATCTTGTATCAAATTGCTGAAAAGCATGTGCAAATATCGTGCATGTGAACAGTTTCGTTGTGGTGTAAAGTTATGTGAAGAATTCGCCAATTTTCACCGAGTTTCATCATTTATTTAACTCATGACAATGATCTTTTCAACGTTACGAATATGTTTTACAATACATCAGTTCATGTATAAACAGTACCCTTAAACAGTATGGAATATTTTGCAAAATTTAGTTTAGAACAGTTGCCTGAAGTAAGTGGCTATATTTACACTTTTGATGGGTAGTATATTATGAGTCCCAGTTTGTCGAACTCATTTTACGAGCGCTTCAGGCATTGCCGTTTCCTTACTTGATTGTCGGTGTCAGACACATGCATGTTTCTGTCATGGCTCAGGGGTCATCGACAGCTCCGGCATGCGCATCCACTACACGCCGACTTTACGACTTCACGACGCCGGGGTGCTGGAGACTGGAATCATGGTAGACGACTTCCAGATCGTCCCCCCAGAATACGAGTCCTTCAAATCCCGGGGGTACTGCAGCATGGAGTGTATGCAGAGGGTAAGGGAGTTTTTTCTTGACCCTTTCACATTTCTTGACCATTTTCACATTTCTTAATCCTTTTCACATTTCTTGCCCCTTTTCACATTTCTTAATCCTTTTCACATTTCTTGACCCTTTTCACATTTCTTAATCCTTTTCACATTTCTTGACCATTTTCACATCTCTTAATCCTGTTCACATTTCTTGACCATTTTCACATTTCTTAACCCTTTTCACATTTCTTAACCCTTTTCACATTTCTTGACCATTTTCACATTTCTTAATCCTTTTCACATTACTTGCCCATAATGTCGACACTTCCACACCAACAGCTGATACAAATACGTTTAAAACAGCTTGTGTTGTACCTCTATATTTGATACCTCTAAATGTTATCTCTTCAGGGCCTGACTCGGTCCCCTGCCCCTGAGATGAACGTGTTCGCAGTGTTCCAACACACCCATCTTATTGGGCAGGGAATCAAGACCCGTATTGTCAGGAACGGCACTGAGATCGAACCCCTCATCGTGGACGACAGCTACGACTTTGACTTCCAGGAAACCAGGCTGCTGGCTCATGAGAGGAAGCTGCAAGTGGTAACACTCAAATTGAACCAGTCAAAGCGAATCCACCAATCCTATTAAAACCAATGGCCAACCATATTTTATCCATCTGTTTGAAGAGTAGTCTTGCATACTCCGGGAAGAAACACGTGAAGTAATGCTGAAACACATTCATCTTTAATATAATCCCACTTTGAAACCCTTAACATATACTGTCGAACTGAAGAAATTACCTGAGCACTAAGATAAACTTACGATGGTCGAAGTGCTAAGATCGCTTTCTGAAACGTGTCCCAGGGTAATGATCCACAAAGCGTTCGTAACGCTACGACCGGTCGTAACTTTATAGTTTATGATTGGCTTGCGAATGTAAAGTTTTGTGTTTCGGACACTTATTTCAGCCTATTAACTTTCCAATACCGTTTGTAATGGTTTGGCCAAATTCCATTTCCAAGTGTATTCTTTCTCTTGTCCGGCGACTTATTAGAATACAATTACTTTGAAGAATCAAACGGCTTCAACGGTTTCTTTCTCAGATACCCGTGAAGGACTTCAGCAACCCATGATTGTCGTAAGAGGCGACTAACGGGATCGGGTGGACAGGCTTGATTTTGTTGATACTTATTATCGTATCCCATCCGCGTAGATCATTGCTCATGATGTTGATAACTGGATTGTCTGGTCCTGACACGATATATAGCTGGAGATTTGCTGAGTGCGGCTTTAGACAACAAACAAACAGAAACAAATCCTTTTACCTAGATGTCATCTCTGGATGCTTCTAATTTGACGGGGTCCGTGAAGATCCGGGTTGCAATTGATCTTCAGTAACCCATGCTTTTCGTAAGAGGCGACTAACGAGATGGGTGGTCAGGCTCGCTGACTTGGTTGACACATGTCATCGGTTCCCCATCGCGGATCGATGTTCATGCTGTTGATCACTGGATTGTCTGGTCCAGACTTGATTATTTACAGCCCGCTGCCATATAGTTGGAATATTGCTGAGTGCGGCGTAAAACTAAACTCAGCCAATTTGACAGAGCTGCTATGTTAAACTTACATTGACGTGAAGTTCGTACATGTCGTAGCAGACACTCCAAACTCCAGATGGTCAATTTATGTTTCTTGAATTCTCCATAATGCTTCCATAAAACTTTTCAATCCCTCACTGTTTACTGTTAACTGTTCCAGGGAGACTCCATCATCACCGAGTGCGACTACCGGTCAAAGGAGAAGGGCAAATTCACATATGTAAGCATGGACTGTCAAACTGTTTCATGATATACAAAAAAACCAAACTTAATTCAGTTCTCCCTGTATTTTTGCAATGATAGGTTTTCAAAACGTACATAAAACTTCTCGTGGTGACCACGATGGAAAAACATAAGTTTTCATGATCCACATGATCCTTCGACTCATAAAAGCGACAAAATGATTGCAAGCCATGTTGACTTTAGGATGATAATTGTTCATTTTAAGAAAACAAACACACACTGATTTTCATACAAAACCGTGTCTGTACAAGTATGGCCCTGGAATGTTTAATCTTGAATTTATTGGTGAATGTGAACATTCAAAATATCATTTTTTGTGTCCTACACGATTCAAGGTGAATGCCGAGTGTAACCTCAATGTGACTTTGCATGACAGCCAGCACTCTCCTCCCTCATACCCCTGTCAGCCTCCTGATCCTCTGAAGGAGCAGTCTACGCCATTCCTCGTGTAGCTTCCATTTGGGCCAGGTTCTGTACAGGAGGATCCCTTTGTTGCACACGACGACCAATCATGTCCCAGATATGCTCTGAAAGATTACGATCGGGGTTCATTCAATCGTGAGATACTTCGTCAGGGGGTGCTTAGCTAAGTTCTTCGTGTATAGATGAACCTCAGGTCCTTAGCCTCTGAAACCTCTATATACGCACACTTTATTCTGTTTAGTAACACGAGGTAATTCTCCTGATGTAACTTGTGATAAGTTGTCCTTATAATACACATGCATCTGTGATACTGTGCTTATGAGTGAGTGAGTATGGTTTTACGCCGCTTTTAGCAATATTACAGCAATATCACGGCGAGGGACACCAGAAATGGGCTTCACACATTGTACCCATGTGGGGAATCGAAACCGGGTCTTCGACGTGACGAGCGGACGCTTTAACCACTAGGCTACCCCACCACCCTAGGAGGGTTGTTAAAACTAACTGCTATGTTACAGGTGATGGGGTTAGCTATAGACAAGCTGCTGTGTTACATGGGTTATCCGTACATGGGTTATCCGTACATGGGTTATGCCTAGTGGTTAAAGCATTCGCTCGTCACGCCGAAGATCCGGGTCCGATTTCCCATATGGACACAATGTGTGAATCCTAAAGCCGATGATCAACAAAAGCCACCCCGTATTTTAACTCCACTCAGTCGACAACCCGCGTGGAAGGGGACTGATCCAGTATCTGGACTGGAAGAACCAAATAAATAAGGACGGCTTCCAGCAGTACCGCGGACCAGTGATCTACTCGCGCTCGTCACCATGGATTGAAAATGCTGGATACGATCGGTGAGTAGATGATGTCAACTTCGCACAACAGAGTTATTCAAAGTTACGGTGGTGATGAGTTGAGTTTACGCCGTACTCATAATATTCCGGCTATGGCGAAGCGCGATTTCAGCTATGGCGGTCCTATGCGCCAGTAGAGGTGTGGTACTGGTAATTAATGTACGCAGTTGTGGCTGGTACTGTGAAAGTAGTGTACCAGCAGTGAGTAGCGGCATCAGTAGTAGTAGCTGGCAGTAGTAACGATAGTAGTAACAGTAATAGTGATAGTAGCCATGTCGTAGTCTAGCTCAACAAGTCAGTGAAGTATGGCATCGAGTATGGTAACTGTAACAAGTATTAATGCCAGCAGCAGCAGTGAAGTGAAGTAGTAGCATAACCGAGTTAGTAGTAAAGTGCGGGAAATTGAAGAAAAGTAAGTAGTGGCATCAATTGATATTGAAGTAACGCTTAACAGTAATTAGGAAATCGATATTAAGCACCAACAGTAGTGGCGTGAAGCCAATAGCGCGTCAATCTGCTAGTCAATCTCTTTCAACGAGTGTGTGATGCTAACAACGATGGAATGTAGTAGTAGCAGCGGTATTGTACTCCAGCGTCCTGATTCAGTGAGTAGTATGTCGGCTGTAGTGAAATTGTGGTGGGGGTATTGGTCTGTCTAGATGAGTGGTAGTGATGGTGGTATATGGAATGGTGGTAACGGCAATGTGAAATTGGGATGGTAGTAGCAATGCTAGCAATAGTGGTGGCAGCAATGGTGGTGGTGAGAATGTTAATGGTGGCAAGTACAGTAAAGATGGTAAGTAGCAGTGATGGTAGTAACAGTAGCATGGTTAGTAGAAATATTAGTAACAGTAGTAGTGGTAATGGTGGTCAATGAAGTAAATGCTTAGCAACAGTAGTGAAGTAGTAGTCGCAGCCGTGATAGTGGTAACTAACCGTGGTAGTGGTGATATGGCAACTTAGTAGAAGTAGTGGTAGTAGTACGGTGAATTAGTAAGTGAAGTAGCGGCAGCAGTGAGTGGTAGTGTAGCAGCAGTAGTAAGTAGTGAGTAACAGCAGTGGTATTAGTGCAATTAGGCAACGTAGTAGTGAAAGTAGCAGCAGTGGTAGTAATGCTGGTGGCAACGGTAGTGGAAGTGGTGGTAGTGACAGCGGTGGTAGCGGCCGGTGGCAACAGGCAGTGGAGTAGTAGTAGTAGCGGTGTGATGTGGCAGCAACAGTGAGGTAGTGGTTGGCAGCATAGTAGTGAGTGGTGCAGTAGTAGCAGCAGCAGCAGTAGTGAAGTAGTAGTGTAAGTAGCAACAGCAGTGAGTAGTAAACAGTAGTACTTGGCAGCAGTGAAGTAGTAGTGCAGTAGTTAGTAGCTTAGTAGCTTGCAGTAGCAGTAGTGAGTGAGTAGTAGTGAGTGAGTGTAGTGAGTAAAGCGGCAGTGGCAATGAGTTAGTAATGGTGGTAGTAGCAGTGAAGTTGTAGTTAGTAGCAAACAGTTAGTATGTAAGTGGCAGGCAGTAGGTAAGAGTAGTAAACCCGGTAGCAAGCAGTAGTAAGTAACAACAGTGAGAATGTAGTTAGTAGCAGCAGTTGTATGTAGTAGTAACAGCAACAGGTTATGGTGAAGTAAGTGGTGGTGAGCAGTAGTAGTAAGTGAAGTAGCTGATGTAGCAGTGAAGTAGTAGAAGCAGCAGTGAGTGGCAGCAACAGGTGAGTAGTAGTATTAGTAGCAGCAGTGCAAGTGGTAGTGGCAGTAGTAGTGGTGGCAACGGCAGTAGTGAGTAATAGCTGCTGAGTAGCAGCAGTGAAGTAGTAGTGGTAGCAGCGTGATGGTAGTAGTTAGCCGTGGTAAGCAGCAGCAGCAGCGGTTGTAGTGGTAACAGTGGTTAGTTAATGGCAGTAACTGATGC